CTGAAAAGCTTTGTTGTGCACTTTGTCACAATGTCTGCTTGAGTGGTAATGTTAATTTTTTTTTACTGGAGACAAAGTCTACTACAAGAGAATAACACATGACATATAGAATGGACCAGGATAGACAAGTTCTGGTCAAACATGGAGATATTTATGTCAGAGTACACACATGTAGGTCAATTCTAGAAAGACTGATTCCACTAAAATAGGTCATGCTATATCAACTTGAGATACTAATAATTTGTAATATAATAAATCTGAAAACAGTTTCATTGCAGAAGAAAGTGATAATGACAGTGAGAATAGAAAAATCCAAGAAGGAAGATATGGAGAATAAGAATGGTATTCACAATTCATCTACCAAAACCATAATGGTACCGTAAAGCAGAGGAAGACCTCCAAAACAAAAAGGTAAGACAGCTTGTACTTTGAATAAAAATAGTACTTTAAAAATCAATATAGTGGTTCAGTATAAATTGCATGGACAAAATGATTGGGTAACAGCAAAACTGATTTTTACATCTGTCAAATGTTCTGGTAAATATGCAAATGAGTGGAATACTGAAAATGAAGCTCAAGAAAGACAAGTGATTGATTTTGACAGATATGCTGAGAAATGGATAGAATTTTATGAGAATATTGACTTAAATTCAGAATCATCTTAATCAGATGATACTACTACAGAAACTCAAATTCTGGAAATATTTCTGATGTAATGGAATAACCAGGCACCTCCCATGTATGATTACACTATAGGTAGTAAGTACCTATAAAGTCAACTGTCTACAAGAGACTGTGGAAGAGTGAGAGAAAGAAGATGCAAGCACATCCGACCTTCCAATTAGTGGCACTCACTACTAGATTGACCTGTGTATGTATAACTTCATATTGTACTTGTTGTGTACAATAAACCTTTCTTCTAGTATCCACCTGGTGTTATGTATTTATTCCCTTAGCTCGGAATATGACAATTTCAAACCAAAGCACCGCAAAGCATAAAGAGTAAGAGAGTTGGAAGAAAAATTATGTTTATGATCAAAGGATAGCTCATTGAGTACAAATCTTTCTGAAAGTGATTCAAGAAGCATGCATAATGAAAGGCTAGGAGAATGAAAGCTTTTGTTGAGTTCAATTGTTCATTGTTCAATTTATTGATCTATATTTGTTTAATTACCAAAAAAGAAAGAGGGAGATTGTTAGAGAGAGTGGAGTTACTCCCCATAATATAAAGATATAAAGATATTATAAATGAGATTATCATGAGGGAATGAGAGATGTTATTGAGGACAAAGAGAGAAAGATGTTGCAAGACTAATTAACACCCAGAACACTAAAAAGTGATAGGAGATGCCTACCATTAAAGCCAGTTTTCACTTGTGATGAAATGGGCCTTTTCTGGAAGAAAATGCTGAATCATACCTATATTCATAAGAATACTAATCAAGCCACAGGATTTAAGATGTCTAAGTATAGTCTTTTTCTAGTAATATACAGAAATGCAGCAAGTCGTATGAAACAATAATACTTGTCATCTTAACCCTAGAACACTAACCATGGGTATATAGTACCCAGTGCAAATTTTCCTATTTTTAATTTTCAGTACCTGATTTTCTTATCTAAATAATGTTTTTCAGTTCCTATATATATTAACTCAAAGTACAAAGTTTGAAGTGTCTGCATGTAAAATATTTTAAATAAAGATTTATATTTAATATTTTTTTTGATATTTTCAAAATCGTTTATGATATACCCATGGTTAGTAGTGGTGTAACTTTAATTGATGGTTAGTATTCTAGGGTTAAGAGCAAAAGTAACAACATAGCATCCATATTGATGTAAGAGGATAAAGTGTAGAAAAAATGGTGATGAGAGGGGGTTCAAAAAGTGCAGTGTGGTACTCGCTGGCAGGCCAGCTATTTTTTCTTCTTTTTTGGTTGCCTCAAGGAAATGGATTGTGTGGCTCCCTTTTTCAGCCATTACACTGGGCAGTTGTAAAACAGACACCAGCTCAGCCGCACCTACTTCGACTTCTTCTTTGTTTGTCTGTCAGTCCATATGTCCAACTCTATTGCACGCTGTCTGCCAAATCACTTTGCTTCTGTCATGTTGCTGGCAACCTGCTTTTTATGCTATTCCAATACGGCCAAAATTTTCATGTGTGCAAATATCATCTCATTTTGGATGAGATAGGCATGTATGAATTGCATCTTCAATAGTGGCCATATTTCTTTTTATCATCAATTTGCAGACAAGACACATTTGCGCTCGTCTTGAATTCTGAGGTAAGTCATGTCTTTCATCACATAAAGAGGATTGGATCATGGTTATTTTGTTCTTCAAATAGTTAGATCAATGCTTTATTCCTGAAATTATTCAATTATTCAAGGTCTTTGTTAATTAGTTTTCTAACCCTTCCAAATCCACACCCTGTCAGGTTGATCACTTTAAACTGCAGTCCTTGCATCCAAACATGATGACACTGCTAGTGTGATTTCATCAA